CTTGAGATTCTTATTATTTTTCATTTCGATCTAATTATTTAAATTTTCTCATTTTATCATTTTTTCTGAGCGGTTCCGGTGTTCACGTCGAACTATAACAACACCTCCTCTCCGATCTTATCCTATCAACATCTAGACGAGACCCTAGGGATGTTATCAACATCTCTGATCGCTTCCTCTTTCCAACTGGCAACAAAACAAGGTCACTGTGGTCAAAGACAAAAAAGTTGAGGTCTTGACCGACTTGGTCAGAGTTGTCAAACCCAACCAAATCACCTCTTACTCCAACAACCACATTTCTAACCTTCTCCATGAGATGGAGATTCCCCGAGATTGAGACATCATGTTCATAAGGTCTTAGAGCCTTTCTTCGAACCCCTCCTAGGCTATTATCCTTTCTTATTGAACCAGATTACTTTTATGCTAAAATTTTCTTTTAGGGAGGACTTGATTGAGCTCAGCTGGCTGTACAACCTTCTCTTAAACCATTTTACCACGTACTCGATCCTTATCCCTGTCGGGTTCACCATCCTTTAGTTGATGTCGCTTCAATATGTTAGACATCGACTTCTATTTCTATTGCTTTTGGTTGAAACCCCATAAATGCTCGTTATACCTCTCTAATAGTAACAGTGCTAACTTCTTTATGCACTATCCTTTTAATGTTACGACCTAAAAAAAAAAAGACTTCTTCATATGAACTCCGCCAAACAGTTTTGAGTTCTCATCCGAGTGGCTTTACGAGCTCCTCGACCAGGTCAAAAAACCCAAATTGTCCGCTTATTATAGTAAACAATTTTTTTAGTTGAACATACTCGCAAAGAGTCTCCCCTTCTTTGTTGCATACTGATCAGCATAGGTAGGTCTTCTCGTGTTTTCACGCGCTTGATAATTGATTAATAAATTGAGAGTGGGAGATATTAAAATTGTATACCGACCAGGCTGGGACTTGGTGGAACCAGTCCTACGTCGACCCTTTCAGTGTGATAAAAAAATTCCTACAACGAACCACATCATTATACCTGTGGAGAACTGTTATGTTCTTAGACAACCTCAGATGCCTAGTTGGGTTCTTCGAACCATCACGGAAAAAATACAGCTCGCGAAAATTGTTACAAAAATTTGCTTCCATGAACTCTTCGACAAACGTGTGGCAATGGATTCGAGTTGATACCCTACTAATAACCCGGGTTTGTAGATCTTGCAGTTGGGCTACCGACCTATAGAGTGTGGTGACCCGAGCTGGCTGTAATATGGTAGTAGGAGAGGATGTCGACCTCGCTGCCATATCCCCTGGTCTTCTCTACGGTTGCGGGTGGTGACCCAATGGATTTTGGCTAACCAAGCGCTCAAGCATGAGCTTGAGCTACCGTCGCAGCCACAATTTTGTCTAGCTATTCCCTTGTTAGTTGGATAACCAGATCTTCCCTAAAGGCTTCTTGTTATTGCGGGTTTAATATGTGTCCCTCAATTTATTCTTGAGGTCGGTTGACCACTAGATTCTTCTGCTGCTGTACCTTGATGCCTTGAGCCACTACCTGCTCTTGTGCTCTTGTACTCCTGAACCCCTATCTCTTTTTGGACGACCACCTGCTCTTGCTTCGCCAGAGGTTTCCCTAACGCGTTTGCACTGGGTTCAGCGTTGTATGGAGTGCTGACAACGTCTCATGGGGCATGATAAGTGGGCCAATCAACCTTGACCAACCCAGTGGGGGTACTGTCCTATCACTCGCGATGTCCAAGCCTAGTCCAACTTCTTAGTCAGATTTTTCCTAGAGCTTTCGCCTGCAATGACTTTCAAATCTTCAAACTTTTGTGAGAACTTCTTATGAGAAACCTACGATAGTCCCAATGACCTACAAAACTCTAGAGAGGGTCCCGATGAAAAATTCTGACGCTCAAGTCAGTATCTACTCGTGTACGCATATGCGAGATACGTAAAACAAGAACGTGGTTACCTTATATAATAGGGTGTCTTGATGCTCAAAAGAATCCTAGTCAGGAAAGAGATCATTCTGTACCCACTTTCTTAATTACCTTACCATGTCTTTAACATTTGAGACTCCTTAGCAAGATAATCATTCCATCAAAAGGTAATTTGTCCACGCCTTGCCACACGACTCTCAGGTCTGAAGGTTGTAACTACGACCCTACTACCTACCTGTCGTGAGTTGTGTCCAAACCATAACCACGACCTCCACCCTACGACCTACAGGTAATGAGGTCCTCTCGAGTATTCGAGCTCTAAGGTTCTCCGACCTCCTATCTCACAGACCGAGTCGCCCTGTATCTTGAGTTCCTTGACGAGGTTGTGTATTGAGTATGGATTGGTCGAGCTCCCTAGAATCGCCCACACCGAACTAATCACTTAAGTCTATTCCTCGAATTATTTTGGGTACTTTATCCATAAAGTACAATTTTTATTTCACACAATATTTAATAGTAATTTAAGCATAAGCTTTTTTATTACTCGTGCTGGAGCCAAAGTGGACTAAGAGGTGCTGTTTTCCACTGCTCAATTCATTTCCATTAATTCTTACCGTTTTGTGCATACAACATGATTAGTATCCTACAGTGTTAAACGTATTATTATCATTTAAAAGAAATATTAAGTAGCATAAAAAACAATACAATAAAATTTTCATATTTCAACGATGATTTTTTTCAGTGAAAATTTTAACCGTAAAAAATCTACGATTCGAACTAAAAGTTTTTCATTGGAATTTTATTAAAACTTAATAAAAAATTCCAGCGGAAATAACAGTGACAGAGCGGAAGTAACAGTGACGGAGCTGTATGGGGTCCGGGGCGCCCGTGGGCCCCCCTGGTTTTTTGAAATCAAATATAATATATATATATATATAAAGATTTTATTTTTGTAAATCAATAGATATGTAAAGAAAAAACTATAAAATAAGTATAAAAATGTAAAATATATTTACAATATATAGGTAATTAAAACTTCTTTATGTTAATTTAATATAAATTATTAATATTACTTATTTATTGAATGTACTAACAATCCTTATATTTTACATTTATAGATAAGTTTTTGAAAATATTTATAATGATTTACTCTTTCGATCTCTTGATTGTAATCGACTTAGTAATTTATAAAACTCAGTATTTTTAGTTGGATTTTTACATTTTTGAATGTTGATTTTTTACTTTTTTTTTGGTGTAATCACATATTATTAAATTTATTTATTTTCTGTTTAAAAAATGTTCATTTGATGAGCTCTCATCAACAAAAATGCTATGCAATGTGCTGCAAAATTTTAATTTTAACCAAATTTTCAACCAAAGAACTTATTTTTTCATAAACCATAGAATTTGAACTTAAAAAATAAATAAATGAAATCTTATTTTTTTCTTCTATTTATTTTTTATTTTTACAATTTGAGGGTGATAAGGATTTTAAGTTTTCAAAAACTTGACGGCACACATATCGATATTTCTACTTGTAATACCCTTTTATATAAAATGAGCGATTCGACTTAAACTACAAACTCGTTGTAACATTTAAAAATCGGGTTCCCCTGAGTGAAATTCCTAGATCCGTCACTGGGAAGTAACAACATTGAAATTTGCCATTGAAATATTATCCCATTAGAATTTTATCATTTTAATATATTAGAAGAGTACTATATTTCATGTCCCAATAGTTTTATAAATGACATTAAAAAACCGAATCTATCTCTTTTGTCCTTTCAAAATTATTTTTATTTTTATTATTATTGTTCTTATTAATAATAATATTATTATTATTATTAAGATGATGTAGCGCGTGCATACAATGTAGGCACGGGTTTTACGTGAAAGATACTAGTGAAAAGACGTTGATTGCTACCAAATGGATTGGGCTGTACTGAATTATTATTGTGCATAATTATCGCACGTGTCCACTTTAATTAGGCTTTAGGCAGCAATCAATAACTATAGTTGATGGGCTGAGGCTCAAGGTGGGCCAATTGATGGGCTATACGACACAGTCCATCTTTTCCAAGAAAGTTCCAATTTGGGACGAATGAGTTGACCACGGCTCTTTTGGTGTAGTATAATTTCAGGGTAAGAAGATTAAGACATGTATGATTAGAGATGTAAACGAGTCGAGTCAATCTAGCTCGGCTCTATTTGTTGACGAGCTTTAACGAGTTGAATAATACTAGAAGTTCAAAAAATTATGTAGAATCTCATGTTTATCAAATTTAACAAGTCGGACTTGATAACTCGACGAGCTTTATATGAGTTTGTGCCTAAACGAGCCAAGTCAATATGCGGCTCATTAACTCATGTTGTTTCAAATATTATGCGGTGATTCGTACACATCTGGTTCAATTCTTGTGCTTCATCAATTTATGGTATGTATTTCTACAGGTATACTTCTGCTAGCTCGGAGTATTTTATATAGATTTGAAATATTATCGTTGTTATTAAAACTTTTAAAATTATAAAATGACTAAACCAACTTAAATTCTGAATATATTTTAATTTTTATAATACCATTTACTTATTTATCATCATTATTTCACATATGATATCAAATAATATATTATGCACGATTTGATTTGAAACCCACATGACATATAAAAATGATATATCTACTCTTATGAATAATAATTAAATTATTTATTAATTAAATTTGAAAATAGTAAAGAGGGGGTGAACAAAAATTATTTATTGTATGACATGTGTCAATACACTATTGTTGAATAAGTGTGGATGTCTCCATAAGTCGAGCCATCTGATGGCTCCATAGCAAAACTAAGAGCGGAAAAATCAAACAATATTAATAACTAAAACACACTTAAAATTCACATTAAATGAAGGAGAATAAGAAACAGGACGGGCATGAACACAGCACCATCGAAACCACTATTGTTATACACATTTTTACTACACACGTATAAGTCACACACACAAACCACTAGAAATCCCCCCACCCAAAAAGCCAAAACACAATCCTTGTTGTTCAAACTAAATAGAAAGGTCCTTAGAGCTCACATCCTGAGAGATGAACCAGTGGATTGAGACCCAATCCTTCGCCTCCTAAGCCGCTCGGAAATGATAAAAGCGAGCTCCAGAGACTGAGAAGCATTGAGCCTCGGGTCACAGTGCGTGTGGTAACGCGAGCTGAGGTCGTTGTAAGTGATGGTGCGGGACCCACCAACACACTCGGTCACATTCTGACCCGTCATCTCCAAATGCACACCTCCTGGGTAGCTTCCTTCCTGATCGTGCACGTCAAAGAATGCTCTCACCTCAGCCTACACACACATTTTCAAATAGTTGAATTTCCACAAGCAAAATCAACGATTAAAGCAGTGGGTACAAGTATGTACAACAATGCACTCATCCAGATGTGGAGCAATATGTATACCCTGATTGAGTCAAAAGAGCGAGTCTTGAGTCCACAGGGAGCCTTGATGGTGTTCCCATGCATAGGATCGCTCACCCAAGTCACGATTTGGCCCGCTCCACGAACAGCCCTAATCAGATGAGGAAGTTTGACTCTCATGTTCTCAGCCCCCATTCTTGTGATCACCGTGATCCTTCCGGGTCTATTTCCAGGGTTCAAAATATCAATGAGCTTAACTAGCTCATTAGGGTCCATCTTGTCACTAACCTGTACCGAAAGCCAAGTAGACAAAAATATACCATCATTTACACTATTTTAATCATTTAGGAAAGAAAAACCCAGTTATCTTTCAGGATATTGCACAAACACCATTCGAATTTGCTTCTATCTACAAGTTGCATTTCAGTACTGTAATATATATAAAGAACACAAACCTCGAGGGTTATTTATCATTTTGGAAAATAACTAGCAAATTTTAAGTAAGTCAACAGAGCTCATGAATAGTTTTTGACCTTTTAAAATTAGATCCATTTTCATGGCCTCTGAGGAAGACATGGACATATAGACTAATATGTATAAAACAAGTTGTTTTGAAAGAGAATTTAATGATTCACATCTTAAAAGAAATTTGTGCAGCAAACCTTGATTCCTAAGGGGTTAGAAACTCCTCTGAGGAACTCAACATGAGCACCATCGAGCTGCCTTGTTCGTTCACCAACCCAGAGCATGTGGGCCGAGCAGTCATAGTAGAGGCCCGAAGTCGAGTCCTCCCTTGTCAGGGCTTGTTCGTAAGGCAAAAGCAAACACTCGTGCGAGGTCCAGAACTCTGTCGTGGTCATTATGGGGTGGTCGGAAGTAAGGCCACAGGCGTCCATGAAGCCAAGGGCCTCGTCCACTCGGTTAGCCAGTTCGCGATACCTTCAAAAATAGTTGAAACATTTGAAAATCTCTTCATGGAGTAAAAACACAACACGTAACCACAATAATTTCATTTTTTATTACCAAAGGAACACATTTTTAAAAATTTAAAGATACCCCTAGGAAGCACTCAAAAAGTTAAAGAATCTAGACAACACTCAACACAGATCAAGAACAAAAGACGCATGCATGTCATCTTTTATTTCATCAAATGGAAATAATGAACAATAATGCATAGTTGTAGAGTGAAAGCAAGAAAATCCTTACTTGATGTCTCAGTGTTATTCACATCTTTTGAAAATGATGATAAAAGAGAAGTTAGCAGGCGAAGTGCAAGAAAACCCGTAGTTGAGGTCTCTGTGTTATTCACATCTTTTGAAAATGATGATGTTTACTTCTCATAACTAAGCAAAAACTCAGAGACTATGTAGTAATCACAGGGAAACCA